GATAATTTACTGGCTGGAGAAATATAAGAGGGGGATAAAGAACAGAAAAAAACACCCCACAATGGACAAGATTAGATAGGTATTCCTTGATTTGTTGCATCTCTTCATATTCATTCCTTTTCTTCTTACAACTCTGCTCTTCCACACCATAATATTTCATGTTAACTTACATTCACAGACATACAAATGAATAGAAGGCACTACCTCTTATGTGGTTTCTGAATTTGGTGCAGACAATCAAAAATGGTTAAAGTACTAGAGAAAAGCAAAAAGGGAAATTCAACTTAGGAGAAATCAGAATTCCCAGATGGAGAAGGCATTTTAGCTGAATTCACAAGCACAAACAAAGTCCAGAAGTACTTGTTTACAATGCTTTTGCAGAGATTTATTGAAATCCTTGCCAGCTTGGGTATGGCCTGGCTTGGACCGTCTCCCAGCAGGCTGCACTTAGAAGTTATGTCACCATCCAAGTTGCTGACAAATGTTTCTGTAAATGCTAATAGACTTCACTGCTATTTCTTGTTTTGCTGTGGTGTGCAACAAGAAAGAATCCAAAGAGACTGGTTGTAGGTAGGAGGGAGCTTAGCAGCTTAAGCACGATAGTGCAATTACTACAAAAAAGGAAATTCTAAAGAACTTATTTCTGCTCTAGCCATTAATCCTTCACCAGATGTTTGACAATATGAAATTTACCAAAAGATCTATACAATTATTTATATTCAATGTGGCTTTTTCCTAGGGAACACATTGTATGCATCGCATGAGGTAAATGGAGAATATAAATCCAGTATTATTAATGCCGGGGTCTGGGTTGTTTTTATGCTCTTGGGAGATTTTATTAATGTACTAGCTAAAATAGTTCATGAACTGTACTGTTTTGTTTTTTGTTTTTTGGGGGGGTTGCGGGGGGAAGGAAGACAAACATTTCATTTGCTCTTTCAGGGTCACAATAGCTTTTATGGAAAAAAAAGAAAGTGGGAAAGGTGTGCACACTTTTGAATAAAGACAATTGCTTTGCCTCAGGTTAAATCATTCCACCTGCTGTGAAGCAATTAGAATCAATTTTGCTATTGAGCACAGCTAGCTGCTTAAGAAAAGGGTTATGGGGAGACTCACAAAAGATGCTCACTTTGCCAAACAGTTGAAGCCCTCAGACCAGTTGTACACAAGGAAATATAAAATTTGGTCAGTGGACTTTCAAACCTTCTATACCACAAACGAATGAGGGATTTTTTGACCTTCTTGAATATGTAGCTTAAGACTAAGCTATTGAATGGATCGTTAGTGTGGTCAGTATATAGAAAACAACAGAGAAAGAATAAAATATCTTTAGTTATATAATTTCTTTAAGACCTTCTTTATGTCATAACATAGTGGCTGCAATGAACTATGCATTAAGTGACTCTTAGGCAAAATGCTACAGATATATCCTATTCATGAATGGAAGCAGAAATTTTCCCTTCTGGCTTCATCATCATGGTAGTTCATTTCACCTTACACTTTTTGCTAGATACCTAATTATATAAAGGGCTTGCTCTGTAGATCTATACATTTCTTGACATCGAACGTGACACTATTTCAGACCTCACACTTGGAGCCAGGTAAAGGAACTACTTCAGGACTCTTCAAATAGCATGGGGAGTCCACCAATATGCAGCATTTGAATTGAGATAGCAGCATCCCAAATGAATGCCCCAACAGCTGAACCATAGCTTATTCTGGTAAAACTCTTTTCTTCCACCACATAAAATTAAACGTATGTAGCTGTGTATATATACGTGACCACCAGCACCAACAACCTTTAATGTTCTTCACGCAACTGAATTATTGTCTTCCAGACAGTACTGCATCTATGCACTGAGATAGCTTAGTTGTCTGTTAGTCTAAAAAAAGTGTGAGTGGGGGAGGGGGAAGAGGGAGGCTCTGTATTTGATATCATACTGAATTAACTAATAGTAATGGTTGATTTTTTTAAAGGCCATTACATGAAATGGATGAGAAGAGAATATATTTCAGCCATTAAGGAAAGGGAAGATGAGGAGATGATGATAGGAAAATGTTGCTGAGGTATGAGATGGAAGAAGATGATTTCAGACAAATTGAGACACTGCAAGGGTAAGAGGGGCAATTATTTTTGGCTTAATATTGTAATGTACTGAGTATGTAGGCAGGCACTCTTCAGTACATTCGTAAGGCATATAAGTAGCTACTTTTTTTGGGATTATCATTTCTGTATGAGGATATATATATATATATACCACCCTTGCCTGCCTTAACTGAACCTTGGATATTTTACAAATTACAAAGTGTGCAATTCCCAATTATTCAGTTTATTAACTTATTTATTTGAAGGGAAACTGCTCAGGACCTCATATTAAAATATTCTTCATTTTCATTATCTATATCAAAGAAATTTTTCATGGACATAATTTGTGTGCCGGCCTGTATTTCATTTAAATGTGCTTCATATGGTTGATATGTTCTGCTTACATTTGTGAAACTGCTTCTTCTCCAATAAAATAATTTGTGACAAATGTTGCCCACATAAAATGGAGTTGGAATGTCTTGCTTTTTAAAGTAAAAAGACTTTCTCTTTTTCTAAAGGTGAATAATACAGGATGTTACATGTACTAGGGAAAACAATTATTGCATTTGTACATAAGTAGACCTGACATCCCATATTGGGTAGGGAAATCAGGAATTACTTCAGGAAGTCACTTTTTTCACTTACTTCAGTATAAGAGGAAAAAGGCACATTCATTAAAAATGCCTAACTTTCCTCTCAAAGATAGGAAATATTGCAGGCTGTATATAAAAGGAGTTAGGAAGAAAAAGCAGGGGTTGGAAAAATACAGCTCATAGTCTGGATCCAACCCACCAGGCCATTCTTTCTGGCCCATGGGGCCACTGAAAATTTATAAAATTTGTATTTATCTGTTTCTGGCTGACTGTCAAAGATGACAGGAGCCAGGGGCAGTAGGACCCAGGAGAAGCCAGCAGGACTCAGTAGGCTTCTCTGTCCTGCCCAGCCCATAGCTCTCAGGCTCCTCCTACCTTCCCCCTGCCACAACTGGAAGCCTCTGCCTGCCACACCTTTCACTGTTTCCATTCACACCAGCCCGCTGCTCCAGCACCATGTGGCTCCTGGCTGCATCACTAGACTGGGGGAGCACAGGGCCTATGCTGGTACGCCAGGGCCAGGATCAGGATGGGGTGTGTGCACATGTGTGTAAGTGCATGTCCCTGCAATGAGGGAGAAGGAGAGGGAGAGGAAGAGAGCACTGAGGGAAGGAGAGACAGTGTGTGCGTGTGGTGTGTGTGTGTGTGTGTGCATGCGCATCCAGGGAGGGAGGGAGAGACAGTGTGTGTATGTATGTGTGTGTGTTCATAGGGGGAGTCCCACACACCCTTCCACCATACACATGCACCCCCCCTCCCACTGCTGTACACACAGGCCCCCACATCCCCTCACACACCCCAGTCCTATCCCCCACACAACTCCCCACAAACCCCATACCCACCCATACCCCACATATCCATACCCCCACATGCTCCCTCACCCCATGCTCACACCCCCACATGCCACATACCCACACACCAACAGACCCCCAAAAACTTATACCCACCCCCATGCTCCCCCCCCCACAATATATAAGAGTAAGACTTCATTTTAAGCTATTGTGCAATCACCTCTGTGTCCCCCACACAAACACATGTAAATTAGGACAAATATTTTTTGAAATCATAGTAATGAATGTTGTAGATGTTTGATTTTTAGAATATAATTTGGTATTTTTTTGGTTCTGAGATGGCAAAACCCCTTGCTAAAAGGAGTACTTCTGGGGGCAATGGAGGGACTTCTGGTGGCAAAGGTCAGGGGTTAAAGGGCAGGACTTCTGGCCACAAGATAGTGACCAGGGGGTGGGGCAACTGTCAACCAGTGGGGCTACCAATGCAGCTTGCCAAAACTCAGTAAGTGGCCCTCCACCAGAAATAATTGCCCACCCCTGCCATAAGGTATATTGTTCATGGAGAAAGGATTATATTAGAATCTTCCATGGATTTTTTCTGAGGGTACTTCAGCTTCATTCAAAATATTAACATTTTTAATATGTTAGGGCATAATCCTACCTACATTCACTACTGTAGAGAGCCTCCTACTAAAGGTACAGAAAACAACAGTAAATATTTTCACAGTGGTGCATTCAGAGTACATTAATTGATTAAATATTAACAGTTTTAAGTATTTCTACAGCTAAAAAGCAACTTATTTCTTAAAGATTATAGAATGTTTAGGTAAGTAATTTATCACTTCTGTTCAGGACTGAAACCAGAAATATCATGAGAAAGGCCATTAGCAAGAAATTTGTAGCCCAGTTCTGCATAAAAGAATCAGTGGAGATTTGCATCCAAAGTTTGCATAGCCTGATCAAAAGTTTGGAGCTACAGTTTTGATTTATTTTTTTTCCTAAAGAAACACCCCCACAACAAAAACTGAACTTAGATGAGTTGTATAAACATCTACTGTGTATCAATGCATAAAAAACCAAAAAGGCATCTGCACACAACCAATGGCAAGTCATAGCTATTAATGTAGATTCTTAAAATGCAGTAGAAATATAGTGAATTACCTAGGCCAATACTACCTCTGGTTGCTGAAGTCGCACTTCATTCAGTTCAGGCATGCAGAAATTTAAAAAATAAGTAGTGGTCCTTAGAATACATGGAATAGATACAGACATTACACTTGTACTGGTATAAGTGATGCAAAATCATCTATATGCATAAGAGAAGAAAAGTTTGGCACACATAGACTGGTTTTAAAATGGTGGAACCTGGGCTAATACTTGCCTGCCCCCCACCACCCTGCCAAAGGGTGAATGTATGTTCTGCTTGCTACTCATCTAAACTTACAGGAAACTATGTAACTTAGAATGATTCCACCTTGGGCTTTTTGAATGTCTGTACCTAGCCATGGAGTCGGTAGTTAGGTCACTCACCTGAGAGCTAGGAGACCTGTTGTCAAATCAAGGATCCAGATCCTTCTCCAGCAAACAGTGAGAGAGGTTCAAAGAACACTGTTCCCAGATGTTGTGCAGCACTGGGGACAGAGCACTCTCATGGGATGTGGGAGATACTAGTTCAAATCTATTCAGGCAGAAAAACAAATAAACCTAACAAATAAGCCTAAGTCTCTAATCCTGCGCAACTGAAATGGTTATTGGCTAAAGAGGAAAACATTACCACTACCTCCCATTCCTCCCTTGTGAAGCTAGCTCTTTACTTCTTTTTAATTTATTTGGGGAAAATAGTCATTTTCATGTCAAAAGAACGGTTATGACCATTTCAGAATAAAAATTTATTTCTTATGAGAAAGACTGAAAGATTTATATTTCAGATGAATTAGAACTATTTCCCTTCTGATTTTTCACTTTAGCTCTTAACCTCTTCCAAAAAAGTAGCAATCAGTTACAAGTATGAGCATACAAATTAATTACCACGGCACCGAACAGGAGTGTGTGAGGTTGGCTTTACCTTGCATACAAACCGCAGCTGACACATGCTATTCTTTGCTTTGCAGTTGGAAGGTAACTATGATAGCTCAGCCTCAATGAAAGACAACTAAGCTTCTGTAATTCAACTTCTTTTTCTTGCAGGATATGAGGATGTACCTTTGTCAATTACCTTGGAGTGTAGCAAAACCCCCAGTGTTTTTTTTTTAATACATATTTATATATATATACATATATATGATAGATATGCATTCCCTTCCCTTCCCCAATTATTTCTGGCTTTTCTTTCTCTCCCTCTCTATTCCCTATAGACAAGCATAAGCGAGCTCAGACTTAGGAGAAGCTTTAACAGTTTTACTTTGGTAGCAAGTTTTTGGTTTAGGATATCCACTGTTTTATACTGTATTATTATTAGGTTTGTATTGATTCTTACTGTTGTATATTGTATTATTATCATTTTCATATTGATTTTTATTGTTACATATGGATATTGTATAGTTTAGGCCTGTGTTTGTAAGTGAACCAAAGTAATGTCAAGTTTTCATTTTGTATGTCAAGTCTGCATCTTGTGTCCTCTGCCCGGGGATCCCCTATGTCGCAACTGTATGAGTCACGTATCCCTCCCATGCAAATTGGTTCCCGGATGAACGAGAGTGATGGGGATTGATTGAAATACAATGGTAGCAGGCCTCTATTGAATAGCCTGTAACGACTGGGTCATCACCTCGCATTGATTCATTCAGGAACCATGGACCTCACCCAGAAACAGCTACAAGAACCCAGCATTTGAAAGACAAAAGACCCTGCAGAACCAGCAACTCTACCATTGTACCCCACCATTACAGACACCTAAAACTGCACATCCCTGCATAGAGTACACATGCTCAGTACGCCAGGGGCTGACCCTTGCCTGGGCATGCCTCCTGTCACTAGGGTCACACAAGGTCTGCCCCCATAAAAAGGGGCAGTGAAGACAGACCCAATGGGATGCCCTCTCCATCTGGACGAGCACCATGCCACACCACCTATCTACCCAGAGGCCCTGACAGCGACCCCCTTCTGGACAACAACACCTACTGGACGAGGACCCCTTTCCAGCCTGAATAGGTAGCTATCAACCCCCACCCCCTCTTCAACCAAGGACTTGGACTCTGCCTCTCTTCCATACCTGGACTCCAGCCCTTCCACTGAGTCTCTTTCTCCTGCTGCCATTTTGAGTGCTTGTGTGTGTGAGAACCAATAACTTTATGGGGCTGTGTAGTGTGTTGTCTGTTTAATAAAACTGTTATTTGGACCCCTAAGTTGGGTTTTCCTTTACTTTGGCCCTGCTCCAGTCTCTGCTCCTTGCCCCTCTAACTTCTGTCTCATTGCTCCCTCTCCTGCTTCTGGCTCACTGCCACCTCCAACACCTGTCCTGAGCTCCTCTCTGCCTCCAAACTCCTGTTTCTTTGCCACTGTCTTATCCCCACTGCCATTTCCTTTCCCCCTGAGCAACCAGGTTTCTGCATCAGTTTATTTCCTGGCTGTCTCCTCCTTGCCACCACTTATCTGTCCCCCCCACCCCCCATATCTCAGCTGTCTGGCTCAGTTTCCAGTCTACCTTAAGTAAACCCAAGCCTCAGTTCTTTAGCCAGCTTCTCTGTAGTCTACTGGTTCTAATCCTGGTTCTGGCAATTTTACTCCCAACACTTTAACTCTCTCTCTCTCACCTGCACCTTCCCCCAAGTATCCCAGGTACCCCAAGCACACACATACACACTGTACCATCCATGGTAGGAACTTACCTCTGTGTGTGTGTGTGTGTGTGTGTGTGTGTGTGTGTGTGTGTGTGTGTGTGTGTGTGAGAGAGAGAGAGAGAGAGAGAGAGAGAGAGAGAGATGGGCTGGCTGGCAGTGACCTAGCCCAGGGGTTTTGAAAGGGCAAAAGATGATTGGAGGACTTGGGATTCCTTTTCTGCACCAATCAGGCCCCAGAGACTCACCCCCCTGTGTCCCAGTTGGCCCCTTGGGTCACCTGGAGGGGGATAAAAGGGGCAGCATGTGCTGACTCAAGGTAGAGGCCAGCGAGGGATAACAAGGAAGGGGGTTCACAGAGCTGGTAAGAGCTGAGCCAGCGGGGCAGAAGCAATACCCTGGAAGAGCCTGAAAGGGCAGGACCTGCAGGCAGCAGTACGACCCTCAGTAGCGCAGCATGCACCTGGCAGGAGAGGCCCCCCACTGGGCTCCAGGATCCCCAAGGAAAGGCTGCAGCCAGCAGAAGAGGCTACCCAGCTCCAGGAAGGATCTGAGCAGTGACCTGAGGGGTTCCCAGCTCTGCTTCCAGCTCTTCCAATCAGAGGCTGGGCAGCTCGACATGAGGCCAGGGCTCCAGGAAGGTCAAGACCCCTAGCAAGCCAGCATATTGTTACCAGTGGTGGCTGTGTGGCAGCATTTCTGCGCACTATGTGGAAGATGTGGGTTTAAGTCCCAGTGGAGGGGACTTGGGATGAGTAACAAGCTAACAAGAAGCAAGTCTTCTTGCAGTGGAAAGGGGCCATTGTGTTCTCCTTCTCCAGGTACTAAGGCCTTATGTTTATTTGACATTTTGCATCTTGTGCCTTTTTATATTTCACCAACCCATATTGTTTGTTCTGCTGTTTCCGTTTTATATTTTGTTAACCCTGTTTTTGTCAATGATTGTAAGTGTCTAACCTTTGTTGAATCCTGCCTCCTTGGGGCATTGTAGTGTCCACTGTACCCTCTGATTTATGCCTGTTATGTTCCCAGTATTAAAAGGTATATGGTTAAGTCCCCATTGGTAGTCTGGCTCTGCTCTATAGGGGAGGAGAGTCCCTATACCTCCCACAGCACTTGTGCACCTGCTTTGGTCCCTTCAATTGGAGAGGGGGTACCTCTTGGAGTACTGTCCAGGTTACATATATATATGTATATGGCATTGTGTGCATGATATATGAATTAGTGATCTGTGTCTAACTTTGGGGTGTATAGTGTATGTGTTTGAACCGTTGATAGGTATGCTTGTGCCTAGGCTGGTTTGGATGTGTATGTGCCTGAGTTGGTAGTGTGTGCATGTATGCACCTAACTGATTTGTGTGTTTGTATATGTGCAATTGTGTCACACCCTCCTGTGTAACAGTGCAATATTGAGATCCTGAGAGTTGGCCTGACCCCACAAGGCAACATGAGAAGTTGCCACACTTCAAAGTTTCATGTGGCCCTACATGAAATTCATCTTCCTGTGTCCATATTCACATAACCCTAGTGTTTGGGGATCAGAATAATAAACACAGAACCATATCACTAAGCATTTTTCTAAATGCTTTAGAACCTTTTTTAAGTGAATTCAAACACTGTACTAATGCCTGAATTTATAAAGGAACTGGGTACCCTCAACTTCCTTGGAATCAACACTTAGTGTAATTCGAAGGGAATCTAGGGCACTGCAGAACTATGGCTGGTATGGAGGTATCCAGCATAAACTCACCCTAATGAGCTCTTTATTTCAATGTAGCAACATGAATTAAAATCTGACATCAGCTACATTCATTTAAGAATTGCAACTCTGAGACAAAGACAGAGATTGATCTTGCAAGGATGTGTTTTAATGCTTAATACTAGTCCATTTGTAATACCTTGTATTAGTCTAATGAACACTAGTCTGTTATCCACTGATAGTCATTAATCTAAAAAACAGAGTACTGGTGACAGATGCAGAGTGCATCTTATCATTGCAATACAACAGAACTATCATACTTATATCAACTTAGAGCAGGATAAAAGGTGGGTGTGGTTTCTTTATTCCAGTTTCTAGTTTTCCAGTTTCCCCCAACTCCCACTAAAAACACCATGTATAAACAAACTCATGTCTCTGCTTTGTCCAGTAATTTCTCAAGATGACTTTAAAGAACTACATTTTGGGGGACCATCACTGCATTATACTGAAGCATTATTTTCACCAAGATAAATAATTTACCTGTAAACAAATGACCAGATAATAGTAAAGGACATCATTGGGATGTTTCTTTTATGATACAGAACACTTGCACACAGTAGTCCCAGAGGTTGATACGTTGACAGTGCTGTTATTCCTCATTTGCTAATGCTAATATGCCTCCTGCGTTAGACCCCCAGTTTTGCATGTGCTTATATCCATCTCTATTCAGCAAACAATTAAACAATAAATCTGTGCTCACACTGCAGTGCCAGATCCAGCTGTGCTAAATGGTATACACACATGCAATCTTCCAGATGGCACCTGGGCACAACAGTCTGCAAGGTAAGTCTAACAGGAAACAGATGGAGACAGACACAGGAAAATAGGGAGAAAATATTGGTCAGCACTGACAGTACTGATAGGTTATGGTTTCAGCCCACTTGCTAAGTAACTTAAGCATTATCAACACCCTTTTGGAAGTCATAGAAAAGCAAAACATTAAGAATGGATTCAAACAAGAACAGTAAAGTGGCTTCATGGATATTTATGGAGAGGCTCTTCCAAGTCTGAAGGATGGCATGATAAAAAGTACAAAGGGACTTAATAGAAAATAAATGAGTGATACAGGTTGGCACTGTGGGCTCATCAGAGGACAGTCCTCTCTCTTGGACACCAACATACAGAGACAAAACCAAAACCAAT